AAATTATTTAACATTTTAAAATTCTATAGAAGAAAAAAATAGACTTGCTACATCACCAACCCTTTTATTTTACTCATTATTATTTTTTTATTTTTTATTTTTGGCGGAACTAGGGATTGAACTCAGGCCCTTGCGCTTGCCAGGGGAGCACTTATTCTACTGAGCTGTCTCCCTGGCCCTAATCCCTTATTTAACAAAGGGTCTCCTTAAGTTGCCCAGGCTGGCCTCAAACTTGTGATCCTTCCACTTTAGTCCCTGGAGTGGTGGGATGTTTACACCACCTCATCTAGTTTAGCTTCATTCTCAAGTCCTGTATTTTGTAAAATTTCTCAATGTTCTCTCCAAAAGAAACATGGCTGATGTGCAATAAAATTTTGAGATCTCTGTTTAAAATTATTCTATAGGTATCTTCTTACTCTCAAATGAGAAGTATAAAGTTTGAGTACTGAAAATGTCTCTTATTTAAGTTTCTGTTGAATCAATAACATGCTTTTTCTAATCTTACAATTCCAGTGATACAGCGTTGTTTTGGTTCCTCTGGCCACAACATTCTCTATGTAGATGATGGCTCTTAACCACATTTTCTTTTTTAAATACCACATATTTTTACTAAGAATCAATTGGGCAAAGTAGCAAAAGAAAGCCATGCATTAAGCCAACATTATTAGCATTACACCTAGTATCTTGAACACAAAAGTTAATTTATGATGCTGAAACTGTTTTTGTGTGCTATGATACAGTGAAAAGTGGACTGGAACAGAATTTAGAAAGTCTATTGCATGTTTCTGTCACTTATTGCCAATGTGACATTAAGACGTCATTTAACACCTTTATGAGCCTTTGCCTTTGTTCATTTTTTTTTTCAAACTAGGGGTAATAGAAATTCTGCTATAATTCTCAGAGAAAGTTTAGAAAGATTCATGGATATATTGTATGGGAAAGATGTTATTTATATTCCCTGCCACTTTACCTTCTGTATACTTACATCCACCCTTTCCCTTTACTTTCTTTTCTTCAGAGATGAGAAAGGAAATCTCCCTTGTGAAGATCTCAGAGGACATATGGTGGGCAAGCCAGTGCATAAGGGATCTGAATCACCAAATTCATTTCTGGATCAGGAATATCGAAAGAGGTTTAACATTGTTGAAGAAGATACTGTCCTATATTGCTATGAATATGAAAAAGGAAGATCAAGCAGTCAAGGGAGGCGAGAAAGCACCCCAACTTATGGTGAGAGTTCTCTTATGTTTCCATGAGAGTGTATGCCTGGCATGGAAGTGTCAATTTTCTATCATAAGCATTTGAGTTGTAAAAATCATTTGATAGGTTTTGAATCTTCATAATTAATCTGTATCCATAATGTGCTTCTAAGTGGAATTTCAATAATATGACACATAATACAAAATTATTCCCGGTTTTTTAAAGAACAGTAACATTTTAGATCATAACGGTTTATAAAATTCTATTTAGCATCATATATATTTCTTCTATGTTAGATGTGACCAAATTAATTAATTTAAGGATATTTTAACACTTACTGTTAGCATGAATTCTTTGAAATAAAATTATCTTCTTAGTCCTCAGGGACTAAAAATATCGTTAGATAGGCTCTTAGCATCTAAATCAAAATCTATTTTTGCATGTTTAAGAAGTTGAAAAATTAAACTGGCTTTCAAGTAGAAGTGAATTTTAAATGAAGTGCACATACACTGTATTTAAGGCAAAGCTAGCCTCGTAGTTACCAAGTACTTAGGATTTCTTTTTATCTTTGACTTCATTTTTTCCATTTATGACAAAGAAAGTAACCCAATTACAAAGTCATAAAATGTGTATAGCATACCTAAAATATTTGCAAATAAAGTTGCCTAAAACCAAAAGCAGTAGGGTGGGTAAGATAGCTCAGTGGACTAAAGTGCCTGCTTATACAAGTTTAGGCAAGCTCAGGGACCACAGTTTGATGCCTAGCACAACATGCTGTGCCAGCCCTGCCCTGAGGGCAGGCTGAGCAGGCCACCATGTCTTGGCATAGTGTAACACGCCTGTAATCCCAGCACTGGTGAGGCTGAAAACAGGAGGATCACTATGAGTCCAAGGTGCATAATGAGACCCTGCAACAACCAAATACATTAAAAGAAAATTAAAAGTAGTAAAACCTTTATTCCTATTACAAGAATGAATGGATGTAATTGGAAGTCTGTGTTCCTCCCTTGCCGGTTTTCAAAATAATCGCTTCTAGTGAGGAGTTTATACTTTGGGGAAAAACTGGATCCTTTCTGATCAGTTCAGATTTGATCAATGGCAACTACATAGAGTGAAAATGGTTTTTTACTCTTTCTACATTTCCTTCTCAATTGTTCACAGCCAATGTTATTTTTATTTATTTTCCATGTACATTTTGACCAACTCTTTTTGGACAGTCATTAAAGTATGTCAACCCTCCTTTTTATATCCCAGAATTTTCTGGCTCTTTTATACGTATTTTGAAGTATATAAATGTTTCATTGAAGGAAAATTTGTAGTCCAATTGAAGTCATTGACTGATTACTCTTAACCTTATAAAATATACCTATTTGGTTATTTGACTGACTGCACATCATCAATTCATCAGACAGTAGTTTATAGTGCCTAGTCCCATCATGTTCCACGACTTACATCTACCCCAATAAAACAGATTATTATTTAAATTTTTCATAATTTTGATAACCATTAGATACTTGATATGCTTTCATAACAGTTAAGTGAAAATAAATATGTACATGCTTAAAAGAGGGAGGAGAAATGTCAAGCTCTCTTTTAAAACTTCTGAACCTGAAATAAAGGCAATCTTAATATAGCAATAGTTTCATTTATTCTAAAATTCTAATGTAGGTACTTGAGTGAAGATTTCTAGGTATAACCTAAAGAGTTTTCCAAGTAACTAAAAGTTTATTACTTTTATTTTTTCAAACTCAGGTCTTAAGTAATAAAACATAGCTGTCAGTTTCAGGATCTTGTGATAATTTTCCCAAAGATTGATTCATTAAACAACTCTGTCGACTAGTATTTGTTGTGTACATAAAAAGAACCGGGCACTGAGAACAAAAAGAAGTACATAACATAAATCCTACTTGTACAGCAGGCATAATCTGGGAGGAAGAAACATTTTAATAAATCTGCATTATAGTCATCACTTTAGGGAAGTAGGAAGATGTGCACAAGATACTGCCCAGCTCAGAAAATTAAACCCTATACTTTAGCTATGAAGTCAAAAAAGTGACTATGATAATTATGTTAGCTTTTCAATGATGAATTGTCATCATCCAGAATGTCTAAGTGCTCGTAACTCCCCATCAAATATGTGACACCTTCTCAATACATGGGTCAGAAATCTGACAGCCTGTGTAAATCCTCAGCCCAGACCCTACAGACCCCAATACTAATTACTCCAAACTTTCATATCAATAATAAATGACAACTTCTTTATTTAACTTATAATTTGGTCCTTTATATAGATGTCCATATATAACAGTAGTCTCTTGGTTTGGAATTAGTAGTAATAAAAATTCATAATTGTCCTGAAATATATTATAAAAAATCTGAAGTACAGAAAAGTTCATGCTTGTTATTTCTACAAATGACAGTAATTTAAATTTTAGCCCTGTGTGATATTTTAAAAAGCAGTGGATAAAACCTTTAATTTTAGAGCATTCAATTTGGTTCATAGTAGCAAATATTGATATGTTGGATTGTGCATATCTGGCCACTACTAATCCTTCCATGAACTTCCAAATTGCTTATTTACTCCAAGAAAGTTGAGAATTATGAGTTTAAGTAGTACTTTTAAGAAGCAAAATGAGCTGGACATTGTGGTTTATGCCTATAATCCCATCATTCAGGTGGAAGAGGCAAGAGGATTGCTGGGAGTTCAAGGCCAGCCTAGACTACGAAGTGAGTTCAAGGCCAACCTTAATGCCATAGCAAAACCCTGCCTCAAAATGAGAAAACAAAACACAAAGAAGCAAAAAGAGACAACACTTTACAGTACAAATATATGCTTTAATTTGAATATCTCTCAGTACCTTCATGTTAGGAAGTTTAGACAAATATACTTACAAATGAAAAATAGGGAAGCTCTGATATTGAACAAAATGACAAAGAAGCACAGATGCAAAGACAAAAATTTGAAAATATTCTAATGATGGGTTTTGAAGCATGTTGTTTACCAAGGTTCTCATTCTATATCATGGATCACGTAGCTGTTAATAGTGAGTTAAAAGTACAATTGTTCAAAATATGCCATTGGACAAGCACTGTAGACAGTAGATGATCCTTCCAAAAACTGAGTAAATTAGGCAGTGTTCTAAGCATTTAAAAGGTATTGGCCCATTTAATCTTAATGTCAACTGTATAAGCTATACACTAATCTTTATTAAAATCTGAAATACAGAGAATTTAAATAACTCACTTAACATGTAAGTGGTAGAACTTGGATTAAGTTATGATGGATGTTTGTTAACCCTACAAATGGTACTAGCTTGATAAATATGATTTTTAAAAATCTAAAAATTGTAAGAAAATGGTTTCTAAAATTTGCACTGCTCCTTCCAAGTTCAAGAATTTAACTTGAGATAAGCAAAGCTAGCATGTTATTATTTATGTTTTTTCATATTTCCTGGCACTCTAATGACCATGCATTTACACTCATGCCCCTTACAGGCTTTAGGGGAAAAATGCTAAAATTTGTTTTACTTTCTGGGAAAGGAGACAAAGATAATTCCTAGATACGCAGATACAAGTAGGAGAAATAACCAAGATTAGTGGTTAGTAGCACTAATTGTAGCATGCTTGGTCATCCCATATTACCCTGAGTGTGTTGCTCTCACTCTCAGTAACTTCAGTGTGTTGAAAATTGCATTAGGGCCCAGTATTTTAGGTATTTATTGGAACCATTGTCATTATTATGTACAAGCTTTGGTGTGAAAATAGGAGGTCGAAAAATAGCATTATATCACTGTCAATATTTTACCTCATCCACTCAGGTTTCTAAGGCACAGAGTGCTGCTGCTGCTGCTGAAAAACCATAGCTAACCTAAGAAAAATCAATTTATAAGTAAATTGAATATAGACGCAGAGAATAGAAAATCAAAGTCAGAATCCTTATATCACACAGTACTCACTAACTTTTTTTAATTTAGAAAACTAAAATTATATCTAGAATAATTCACACTTAGCATATTCTCTCTGCAGAAGCAATATAAGGTTCTGAGTGTCTAAGATTAGCTACCTAGCCCTACAATTAAATACTTAATCATGGCATCCCTGGAAACTGAGGTGATGCATTTATCCCTATTTCACATCAAAATGCATTTCTTCCTATAGAGAAAATGTAATATTAGTCTGGTTTTCAGTCTATATATATGGTAGTTAAAATTATGTGGTCTTATGAGATAAATGTATATGGTGTTATAAAACTAAAAGGAAAAATAATTAAAATGTGTCATGAACATGTACCGATTCCCTACAGTGAATAGAAACACTAATATAATAACTCTCGTCTTAGGTCAGTGTTGCCCACCCAGAGGACATTTCTGATGTCACAGTCATGGTGGAGTCATGACATAATCATTATGTACAGCAAACATGTACTAATAATAATAAAAAAAATTAAAATAGAGCTGTATCAGCTTTTAAATAGCAATATGGCTCAGGTAGTCCAGCAATTTCCTAAGCATATTCTTCAAATCATTAATTCTGAAAGAGAACATTCAAGTTATATGGTTAAGTAAGATGAATCTCTGTGTATTTTATCTTATTTTTGGAGCTTAATAAACATACATTAGCCTACTACCAGTTTTGAAATTCTTGATGAATTTGGATTAATTTACTATTTTCCAAATTTATTTGTACTTTGAATCTTTCCTCTTTCTCTTACATATTGCTCACTAACTTTCTAATGAACTAATTTTTAATAGAATATATTTTGGGAGATAGACTTTAGCAGTCCTCTTAAAGACCCAAATACCAATACCAAAAAATATTTTGCATTGTGAGTTCCGAACAGCTGACTTACAGCTAAGCATTTGGAAGAACCTCTTATTAAAGTTGAAGCCTGCTCTACAGTTGGCTTGTTGAATGTTACCTTCATTTCAGTTTTATCTCACAGAAAACCCAGATGCAAACCATTTTCTAGAATCAAACTTGTCACAGAAATCCAAAATAAAACAATAAAAACTAACTATAAAGATAAGTGT